TGACGCCCCAGTTATTACGCGAGATATCTTACCTTGCCGGAGAACGCCGTCGCTTTTATGTTTTCTCGAGTGTGCAGGTCAAGAAACCTTATAGCCTCTGACTAAAATAAAAATGGGTCGTCTATTTCAAACATGGGTACTCAATAAATATATATATGTGTGTGTGCGTGTGTGTGTATGTATGTATGTATGTATGGTGTGTATTTAAAAGACGCATATCGAACAAAAATAACGTTTGAAGTATTAAAAATCAAATCAATACAACTATTCCTTAGAAAAATTTTCCTATATAAAATAGCTTAAAAAAAAAGATTTAAAATTACTAGAATTTGATTATCAAAGAATAATCATGTATAGTCATGCTGATATTTCGAAGGATATTCATTTGAACTGGCAAAAATATCAATTAAAGTGAAAATATTCGGCAGATGATGTGAATTCGCATCGAAACATAACTATTAAGATCACGTTTTTGTTTATTTAATGTTGATTTTTTTATATTTCCTTTTAGTCTTGATAAACGAAATTTATCAGATGTTCAGTCGTTCACAACCGCAAAGGTACACAGACACAGGTATATTTTATTACATATGCCACATTGATTTGTGTTATATTAAAGGGAGATAATTCTAAAATATTAACGCTTTTAGTATTATATCACCAACCGGCGACGGCTGATGGCAACTCCTTGATATGACGATAGCGATGCTTTTTACCTCGGTTCCATAAATTCCCTACTAGTCACCAGTTAAGCATTTTAAACTATCTCAACCGTGTGGTAGATTTCGCTACTCTGTGTTAGTTTAATGTGATTTAAAATATTGGATAATTTCCTCCTTAAACTTGGAAGTGTTTATTATTAACTTTCACTCATCGGTTTATACGAAGGAGTTTTGCAAAGTTCTCGGCTCGACCATTTCAGTAGAATTTGTTAGTATCCTTTCTTGGATGTGTTTGTGAATTTTCATTGTTCTTTCTGATAATATGAAGATGTGCTACGCTGTCGATGTTGTATTGATTGCGAATCTCGAATGACATCTGCAAGAACTTTGAAGCAATATTGTCGATCAAAGTAAAAACAAACAACTAACCATTAACTTCAAGAATACAGAATGCATAGGTGCTTATAAAAGGGTTTTATATCTGTCTATATCTCTGAGATGAGATATTATGATTATTTACATTATTTACATTTATTGGTTAGTTCAAGGGATTAGACCCAAAGAGTTGTGAGTTCAATATCAGGCTACAGCAGTGGTGAACCAAAAAAACTTGGAGAGTTGAGTTAAAGGGAAATGACTGAGACATCCGGAAGAGGCATGGCACGTGGAACTAGAACAGTCCACCCCGGTGGACGAAATAAAGAGTTCGGCTCGAAATTCCAATCACCTGAAAAAGGCCGTGGCGTACAACGGCCGAAACGTTGTGAATATGGCAAGGAAGATGAAGATAACAGATATTTAATGTAAATAAAAGAGGTATATATTTTGAACGCATAATGAAGAAAGAAGTCTTGGAAAATCTAACACTCACAGGACACATTTAAGACGGGTGTAGTAGGGTAAAATAGTGAGCAACCTACTCGACTATTTTGAGGAACTGAACAGCGAGATAATTATTCTTAAGTACCAGAGGTGCCATAAAGACTACGACAAAAATAGGAAGTTGTGGAGAGATAGTATCGCGTACGTTCCGTTGAGAAATGATAGAGAGAGAGAGAGAGATTTCTGGAGAGGATTCATTCAAATTTTGTTCTTTTTTTAATCAAGAATTTTAAACTGGTTGTTTTAACTCAGTTTTCCTGCTCCACAGAATTAATAAAATCGTATAAAGTTTATAACATTATAACGGACTGTTTGACACTTTTTCTTTCTCTTTACAAATGTGAAGTCTTGGTTGCCATGGAGATACTTTTTCTCCATTACTCTTTCTCAATCTTCTGTAAAACATCTTTCTTAGCCATGAAATGTTTCTTAGACTTTCTTTTTTTCAGGTTCATCTCTTCTCTTTTCTTCGCGAAGGCACGTTTTTCTTTAACACTAACATCAATATACAGATTATCTGATTCCTTCCCGAACATCCTCTCACGCCCAATCTAATGTTAAGTACTCACATTCTATATATCACTATCACGCACAGGGTCTGTCCGTTCATTGTCATTCTCTCGTCGTTCCCTTTTTTCTCGTAAAAAAATATTGACTTAAAAGAAAGGCACAGAAGCGTTTCCCGATTTTTTTCTTGATTACTTTGGTGCGTTTATTCATATGAAAATATTTTCTATAATAGTTCCAAATTGATTTACGAAGCATTTTTCTATTGAATTCAACGTAATTAATATCAGAGGAATGGGACATGACTACGTGACAATAAATTTTACACAAATTTATCGAAACATTACCGTTGCCCCGTTAATTTGCAAATTTCAAATTAACTTAGCCTAATTATTTTATTTACATGACTTGGTAATACTGGGTTGTATATTTTTTTTTCTTTTATTCAGTTCCTTTTTCTCTGTTTGTTGCATTTTTCCTTGTAAATAATTTTTTCTTTTATTCCGTCTATCGTCTTTTCTTCCCTCTTTTACTTTCTTTTATTCCACATTTCTTTCAGTTTATCTTTCTTCTTTAACAACTTCTTTTCACAATTCTTTTTTCCATTTTTGTTTTTACTTTCTCTGTCCTTGTCAGTTTTCAGATTGTTGTTGTTTTTATTGAGTTTTCATTTTCTTTGTTTCTCATAATCTTTCTATAAGTCTCTCGTTTTGTTTCCATTTCTCCCTGTCTCTTCACAAATCTTCCTTTTTTTGTTATCTTCCAGTTCTGCTAAATTTTATTTGTTTACTTGTTGTCACCATATATTTTCTTTTTAAGTCTATTTCTATTTTATTTTTCCTTCCGCCCATTCCTTCACTTGTCTCTACTCGTATTTTTCCTTCCTCCCATTCCTTCACTTGTCTCTACTCGTATTTTTCCTTCCTCCCATTCCTTCACTTGTCTCTACTCGTATTTTTCCTTCCTCCCATTCCTTCACTTGTCTCTACTCGTATTTTTCCTTCCTCCCATTCCTTCACTTGTCTCTACTCGTATTTTCCCTTCCTTCCATTCCTTCATTAGCCTATTCACATTTTCCTTCCTTCCTTCATTAGCCTATTCACATTTTCCTTCCTTCGTCTATTCATATTTTTCTTTCCTTCCTTCATTTGTCTTTCTTGATATTTTCTTTCCTTCCTTCATTTTCCTCTATTCATATTTTTCTTTCCTTCCTTTGTCTCTCTCCTTATATTACTTTTTTCTCTTCCTATATTTGTTAGTTTCTCTCACTGAATTGTTCTCTTTCATTTCTTTCTTTTTTATATCAGTTTTTTTTTTTTCTCTCGGTTTTCTTTTCTTTCATTGTTTTCTATTTGTTTCTCAGTAAATATTGAGATAAAGATTCATTCTTCTGTCTTGTTTGTATGTTTCTAAGTGGCAACAGAATCATAGTCATATTTGATACCGATTTATTTGCCCAGAAGGAAATGTTTTTAGTGAATAATATTCGGTGCTCGACGCCTGATAAAATGGCACCGTCCCAGAAAATCAGAATATGGGAATTTATATTAAAACTTCTTCATTGTTTCATTTCATTATCTTGTTTTATGGCTTTATTTATATCATTTGGTAAGCAGATACATTTTTTCAACAAGAAGTTATATAAATGAATATATTAAAGATAGACGCGGACACAGCGTTACACTCACAATTTAGAAGACTGTGTACTAAACTAAACAAAGCTTTATAAATTATTATCCCGAAAATTTATTACAGAAGGAGATTTAACATGTTATATACTGAATTTAAAAGTCGCAAGTCTCGATAAATTAGATTAACTTAATAATAATTAAAAAAAAATGTTCTGTTAGAATTTTTGGAATGAGCTTCAAGAATGAGATACGGCGAGTGAAGGGGGGGGGTTATGTGTTACAGCAAGGCTGGCAATAAGAATTTAAGTTTTAAGGCTTCCAGTTCTATATATAGCCTTGTGAATTGACGCGTTGTTTGGTGAACCTGGTGGCTTAGTAATGGTGAGTTTAGTAATTGTGTGCAAACTCAGACTCAGTGGAAAAAGGACTAACAGTAACTGAGAAGTACTAAAAAAGGAAAGACGACATGATATTCCCAGACAACAGAAAGAGAATACTATAGAGCCGTAGATTAAAAATCCCCTGAATCTTACACGGATCTACTGACAACGGAAGAAAGCAAAAAGGTAGATCGACCGACAATGTCTTGATATTAACAATAAATTTTAATTAGAGTGTGTAAAAGGGTCGGATGTTGAGGTAGTAATTATCCAGTTGTTATATCTATTTGTAGTAGTAGTTGATAGACGTATACTTTTTACTTTTTATTATATACTGAAAATAAAATGCATAAAACGTACTATAACAATAAGACTTGAGACACGTGTTGACATTAATAACAAGAAATTGTATTTTTCTTTTTCGGGATGTAAATTAAAGATATTGGTATGGTGTATGTTAAAAAATGTTGTCAGTGTTACTATCTGTTTTGTTTCTTTAAAAGTTGCTTACTTGTTTTCTTTTTTCTTGTTCCAAGAATTTCGTTGTTGGGGATAACGTTTCAGATCGTCAGTTTTCGATTTTCCAGGAGGGATGAGGAATACGTGAATTTTGGGCCTTTTTACCACTGCCACTCTCTTGAGTGTTCCCGATTGTGGTGGAAGGGTCGTTTTATAATCAGATTTTAGAATGATGAAATATCTTTCATCACTGGTGGCAAGGTTGGTTTTAGGGTGATGGAATTTTTTTTTTATCTCTCTTTCAAGGATAATGAAATATTCTTATTTTTTATCATCACTGATGGCAAGGTTATTCTTAGAATGATGAATCATAAGTGAAAATAATATAAATACAGCTATTCTTATTATTTAGTTAACTGATGTTGGTCAGTTTGCGTGTTGGTTTCACTAATGAAGATCTGTGACGGCGATCTGCTTCTTCTGAGGACGGATAAAGCTAGTATGTGATTTTCTAAACTTTAGTACTTTTTTTCTATCCGAAATAAATACTATATGGAAACCTTTAATAAATAAAGGAGAAAAAAATGACAGCCTCGCTGCAAGAGCAGCAGCAGTAAGAAAAGACAAGCCTCGGTAAATGCAATCAGGCGTAACAAGCGGATGTCTTACCAGTATGTACCGTGCGTTTAAAGTTCCAAGTTCTATACCCAGGATTATCCAACCGAAGAGTATCCTAGTGGATTAAAGAGCTGCTTTGTGAATTTGATGATAAATTGTGATTTCAATCCCCGGCTCCAGCATTGCAGACCCAGTGAAAGCAGGGCGAGCTATAACCGAGAAGAACTAGATGACATCTCTCTAGACATAGTCTTCTTTATGTGCCGTACATCTTCAGGGAGTAGGCGATCATGGCTCTCCACAATTTCCTGTCCTCTGTAGCTCTATTATTTTATCTTTTCGTTATTCCTCCCAAACCCTGTTTTCCCATTCATTTATTCAAGTCATCAAGTATGTTTTCCTCTTTCCATCTCAATATGTCCTTGAGTATCAAATTTTCCACGCCCTCTTTCCTGATGTTCACCAAAAATTTCAATTATCTCTTCCTGATGTGAAGTGTAAGTTTTCTTTTTGATTCTCTTTTCTCTAAAACCTCATCGTTTCACACATGTTCGGTCCATGGAATCCTCAGCATCCGTCTGTAGAAGTACATTTCTGTTACTTCATGTCTCTTCTTCATCTTTGAGGAGATTGTCCAGCATTCACTGCCATATAGGTGAACAGTTATCCCGTAACATTTCACTACTCTTTTGTTTTTTTTCTAACGAAGTTTTTTTGTCTCTTAATACGCTGCTTAGCTTTTGGGACGCATCTTTGGTTATTCCAATGCGCCTTCGGGTTTCATGGTCAGTGAAACGAGAACTATCTATCCCCCCACCCCGCCAACAAATGATTAAAAGGTTCAGTTGGAAATTCTCTGAAAATTAGCCGGATAGACAAGTGTCTGACGAAAGCGGGTGGACTCGACGGCTGAAATGTTGTGATGATAACAAAGTTGAGGTTAATAGTCTGAGTGTAAATAATGTAAAAATAAATGCGCGTTTGAGTAAATCTTATCTTACAACTGATTGTATTTTCATATACCGTATATAATCGCGTATCATGCCAACTTTGAAGACCTAATTTGACTATAGTAAATAGATATATAGTTTGGTCAACGGCATAACAGGACAGACTAATTTTATATCTCATGTATCATACGACCCCTTTAAAATTAGCTTCAAAATTAGGCCTTCAAAAGTCACATAATACGCAAGTATATACAGTATTTTCTAATCCTTTCAATTTTGTCTAAACTAATATTTTATTCTTTATATTCCTATATTTTAGCATTTGCTTTTCTTTATCTATTTCCGTCATATAACATATAGACAGAAAATAATATTTCAATATATTATGTCCTAAGAATGACAGGAATATACACTGAAATATTAACAAGATTATTCCAAAATTTTATTGGTAATCAAATATTAATTTTTTTTACAAGCATGTTTTTCGCTATAACTTTTATTCCTAATATATTGTTAGCAGAAAGCGGATCTAAAAGTAGACGGAAAACAGAATCTGATAAAGTTAGAGAGAAAAAAAAAAGAAAAGAAATCGTACAGACAGACAGTGTTTTAAACCATGAATTAAGTTTTATCGAAAGTGAAAGGAATAATATATAAGTGCAGATATGAAAAAAAAAAAAAGATGCCTACTTAGATAACAAGAACACGTGCCTCCTGAAGGTGGAGTCAAGTTATAGAGCTTTATGATTGCTGGATGTCTCGCTTATCATCACAAGTGCTACATAAAAGGGAAGGCGGTGTTCGTGAATAGTTGCTTTTGTGCTGACTTGGCCAACTAACTTTAGAACGAGAAAAGACAGTGAAGATGAAAGATGTCAAATAATATTTCCTTTTATCTCTTCTTCAGTTACTAACGTTTCGATGTTGAGAGCACAAGACAAAATAAAGAGATGTCCATAACCACGAGAATAAAAGGAAGAATTCTATCAATTCGATGAAGAAAAAAAAATATATATATCAGATTTCAATCATATTAATCGTATTGTACATCAACTCGATTATATCCTGTCAGTCTGTTGCTTTCAACCGGCGTATCGATGGGGCTACTCTAAATAATGGAACAAAAAAATAAAAATATTCTAAACAATTTGTAGTCCCGTCACCAAAGTTAAGCAACGTCGAGCCTGGTAAATAATGGAACAAAAAAATAAAAATATTCTAAACAATTTGTAGTCCCGTCACCAAAGTTAAGCAACGTCGAGCCGCGTAAGAATACGAGGTACTGTAAATGTTGATCTAATGGATAATGGCTTGGAACTGTTCATCGGAGAGCCGAGTTCCAATTGGAGTTGGGGCCGTTATATTCACTTACGCTCAAATACCCTTGGGAAAGTTATGAATTCATCTCTTTCCCTCAGCTATGGGTTAATTAGTAAGAGTTGCATCACTAAATCATTATAATATATTATATAGGAATAAAGTGTCGTTACCAACGCTTAAATATGAACAAAATCGCTAGTGAGCAAACACAGGCGATCCCATTATTGAATTAAGTCGAGCACGTGTCCATAGAAGAAACGCATATATGTAGGAAGTAGATGACGACTAACGAAACGATCGCTATTTCTAGTCTATCCTCTGTACTATACCGATCTTCATTTCTACACTATCCTCTGTACTATACCGATCTTCATTTCTACACTATCCTCTGTACTATACCGATCTTCATTTCTACACTATCCTCTGTACTATACCGATCTTCATTTCTACACTATCCTCTGTACTATACCGATCTTCATTTCTACACTATCCTCTGTACTATACCGATCTTCATTTCTACACTATCCTCTGTACTATACCGATCTTCATTTCTACACTATCCTCTGTACTATACCGATCTTCATTTCTACACTATCCTCTGTACTATACCGATCTTCATTTCTACACTATCCTCTGTACTATACCGATCTTCATTTCTACACTATCCTCTGTACTATACCGATCTTCATTTCTACACTATCCTCTGTACTATACCGATCTTCATTTCTACACTATCCTCTGTACTATACCGATCTTCATTTCTACACTATCCTCTGTACTATACCGATCTTCATTTCTACACTATCCTCTGTACTATACCGATCTTCATTTCTACACTATCCTCTGTACTATACCGATCTTCATTTCTACACTATCCTCTGTACTATACCGATCTTCATTTCTACACTATCCTCTGTACTATACCGATCTTCATTTCTAGTCTATCCTCTATTACTATACAGGCCGCTATTCTCTACTTTATACGCTATACTATTTCTCTATTCAGAT